GCTGTGGTCAACAGTATCAAAGGCTGCAGTTAAGTCTAGGAGCAGAGCACAGCTGGGTCTCCTGAGTCAGTGATTAATAAAATATCATTAAGCATTTTTAAGAGGGCAGTTTCTGTGCTGTGGTGGGTTTTGAAGCCCGACTGGAACTTCTCAAAAATATTATGACTGTTTAGAAAGGATTGTAGCTGCTCAAATACAATCCTTCGGTAGTCGGTCCTGATATAAAATATCAGGACCGACTACCTTAATAATCTTTTTTAGAAAATGGGTTGGGACTCCATCTGAGGGGCAGGATGATGTTTTTATGCTATTGCAAAGCTCTTCTACCTGGTTAAGACATCTTATTCATGTTTGTATTGAACTTGAGTAAATGTGTTGATCTAGTTTCCAACAGTTCCAGCAAACACATGGAGCAACACAACGAGAACACACAGAGAGGAGAAGTGAGTGAAGTGGATCAGGTTTTCACCACTGCAAAACACACCCACACATGTCGGGGAAGTGGGAGGGGCAGTAGGAGTGGTAGGAGGACCTGTGGGAGGAGCAGTGGTTTGTAATGAACTGTGTGGGGAGGTGAAGGTAACAAAGCCTGGTGGTGTCCCTGTAACTGTGTCGCTGATCCATTTCTGGTACTGGGACACAGGAGTGTAGACTGAAGGAGATGCATTGCATCCAGGCACACTGAAAATTCCACTCTGGAGCCAGACTGATTTACTCTGAGTCATGAGTGGCGCTCCAAGTTTATCCTGTGGAAAGACAGTGATGAAAGCTATTAGGACAGATGTGTAACTCTTAGAAGTCGACCTTTTTCACCTGAGAAAGTTTTAACTTTGTTGGTAGTTTTGTTACAAACTGCTCAAATAAATTAAGGGACTAGTTGATCATCACAGTATATCACATTCAGTAAAACTTAATGGATGTCAGTCTGTCCAGTTAGGAAACATGAACCACTGTGAATCCATTTCAGCTGCTTTGGTGCAAATGAAAGTGACGATTCCACAGACAGAAAGTTTCAGACAGCTCTTTTAAAGGAATCAGTTTCATCAAATAAATTAGAGGTTTTTTTAAAGAAAAAAAATTACCTTTGATTAAATATGAATATGAATATTTATAGACAACGACAGTAAAACAAGTAAACCAAAGTGTGACTAAAGATGAGATTATCTCAGTGACAGTCAACAACAGGTTATAATAAATAAAGTTGTGCTCACCCAACATGAACTCGTCTGTCTTGTACAGATGATGCTGTCTGGGATCCATGGATATCTGGCTTTGCACACATCGTTTCCCACTATTGATACTTTTGCCTCCTGCAGGTTATCGCTCAATTTCTCTGTTTGGAGAGAATTTAAACATCAGGCTTTTCTAAAGACTCCAACACAATGCTGTAAAATCAAATAAATATTTTATGATTTACCTATGTGACCAAAGCCGATGGCCCAGCTGCTGGTCTCATTGTTGAAAGTGCTGTTTTCTGAGGCCAAGCAGATCGGCTGAATGTAGTCTGTGAAATTCACAGGAGCCGACAGCTTCAGAAGACAAATGTTCCTCTCACGAGTCAAGAAGTCGAATCCAGGATGGCAGGTGGCGTTTATCACGTTCAGCCTCACTGTATTTGGGCTTGGATCTAACAGGCCGTTGCTGCCCAGCAAGACCACCATGCTACTGTAATCCCTTCACACACAACAGATATTTTTATTGTGCCTCATGTTGATCATTGTCACAG